TTGGGGATTGTTGTTAGAAGATGGATCATGGATCATTATGATCGTCTTCAGAGGATGGACCATAATGATCATATCATTAGGATCATTTTCAGATGATGGATCATTATAATTGTTTTCAGAGATAAAACCATGATTATAATCACAATCGTCAGAGGTAAAAACATAGTCCTTAGATAACTCTCTCCCAATAACGTTCTAAAACTTGTTCTTGCTGTAAATACAAAATAATAATTATATTAGCGTGGTGTGTTTACTTTTTTATATAGTCGAAGGAAAACATAACGTAAATGTAACATAAGCGAAATGTAACGTAACAGACTTCCCCTAGAAAATCTGTAGGCCCAGTATCATATAATAAAAGAAAACCAATTTCTCCCTCACAATTAGTTAACTTTTATTAAATGTATCTGACAACAAAGTTACACTGGTGTGAAGGAGAGCCACCATTGCTTTTAGGATAATTCTTCTAAATTATCACGTCGGAAAACCGGAGAACTCCCACTTTGTTAAAAAAAAGAAAACCTACCATTTCTTCTGAAGAAATAGTCTTATTTGGGTATATTTCTTCCATGGCACATTCGAAACGAACTGATCCAAACATTATCATGTGTACGCCAAGTGTCGTTCCTTTATCAAAAAATTGTACGAATGTTGATCTGTTCATCATAAACGATCAATAAAAACTAAAAGATCAGAACCCGAGTAAGTATTAGATATTTTAGTAAAAAAAAGTCAGTTTGGTATAAATGCGATTCTGTTACTCTTATATAAAAGGAAAAAACATCATGTCAGTTACATGATATTAGGATCTGGAGCATATCATATGATAATTATCATATTACACAAACGCATGTTTTTTGTACAAATTCAGATACGCGGCGTGACTGATAAAAATTTCCAAATTATGTTTTGATATGACCTTTATATTGTTTATAAAGATGCATCAAAAAGGTAATCATTTTGGCCAAATACATCAAAAATGTAATTTTTGTATCACTGGTATGGGACATTCAACAGGAGGAAATGTTGATATTACACAACTGATCCTTCACTCAGTGTGCAACATATAAAAAAATTATTTTACAATACCAGATTATTCCACTATGATTATAATCCCACACCATTTTATTATTATAATCATAACATTTACTAGCGAAATGATCTGGTATTGTAAAATAATTTGTTTATATGTTGTATTATAATAAAATAGTATGGGATTATAATTATAACATTTACTAGCAGAATAATCTGGTATTGTAAAATAATTTTTTTATACGTTGCACACCGGGTGAAGGATGTGTTGTGTAATATCAATGTTTCTTCCTGTTGAGACATTCAAATCCGATAACCTCCAGGATTGATATTATACAAGTATTTATACAGCGTAGTATATTTAACAAAATAACTTTCTAGCAAGTATCTTTTCAAGAAAACAAAGTTGAATCACGCTAAATTGTGCAACAAAAAATAGATATACTAAGAGTTGAAGTACTGTTTGCTATATAGCAAAAGGTAATAAAAATATATTGTATTGCTTAATTCATAAACTTTAACATCATTTTTTTGGGTTTTTTTTAGTTTTTTTCTTTTATTATTCAAATAATTAACTTGTTTATTTCAGTTATAAACTTATACAGATTGTATATATA